TCAAATGCTGCAGTCCTTCTTTCTAAAGAGAAATCAAGCGCTTACACCAAGAAATGCAAATTTAAGCAGAACACAATTTAGCAAAATATATAGACTTTCTCTGAGCCGTAATTTACAATTTTCCTAAGTTCTGTGTTATTGTCTAAATTTTTTATGCTTTGTATTACAGCTAATGGATACATTCCTCTAAAAAAGGTGATGAGTGATGTGAAAACAGTTACAGGCAAGTTAAAAGTTGCTATAAAGATTAAAATCCTGGGCTCACCCAGGGAATGGTGTCTAAGGTAGCCGGATCCCACATAGCCATCACGCAGTACAAGCCCTGGGCCCAGTATCTTGAAAAACATGCCAGACACAAGTGTGTTTGTGCCCAAAATCCTGCAAGGAGGGGGAAATTAAGATGTGACTGTGCCTCATGTGGATGCTTCCTCGCTTTCTCTCCAGTGAATGCACACGCTCTCTAGAAAATTTTTTAAATTTTTTTTTTTGGAGAGATTTTCACTGTAGGGCGCATGCGCTCGCCAGACAGACAGAGAGAGACATAGAGACAGAAAGCGAGAAATCACCTCCCAGGGGGGATGGTCACGCCGCAATCCCTTCTCCTCCATTCTCCTCTCGGGATCTTGGGCACGCACGCACACGCGCCCGGCATGAGTTTTAAGCCACCGGGTCCGGGACACGAACCGTGGTCGACTACGTGGGAGTCCAGCGACATAGCCATTACGCTAACTGCTGGTTCCCCCGAAAATTTTTTAAATTTTAAAAAGGTTAAAATCCTAATTACTTGGGCCAGCAAGGCATGATAGTTAAGGCACTGAATCTCGCATGGCCAACCATGTAGTTTGAGTCCCAGATCCAGTGGCTTGAAAAACACACCAAGTGGGACCAGCAGTTAGCGTAATGGCTATGTCGTTGAACTCCCATGTAGCCAACTGCAGTTTGAGTCCTGGACCTGGTGGCTTAAACTCACACTGGATGTGTGGCGCGTGCCCAAGATCCCGAGAGGAGAAAGGAGGAAAAGGGATTGCAGCGTGGCCATCCCCCCTGGGAAGTGATTTCTCGCTTTCTATCTCTCTGTCTTTCTGTCTTTCCGGCGAGCGCATGCACTCTAGAGCAAAAACCTCTCCAAAAAAAAAACACCACCAGGTGTGTGTGTGTGTTCAATATCTTAAGAAGAGAATGGAGAAGGGATTGTAACTTGGCATCCCCCTTGGTGGTACTTTCTCACATTCTTTCTCTGTGTCTCTCTAACAAACATACACACCTTATCAAAAACAAAACAAAACTTATTCTTTAATAATATTTTCCCAGGACCAGCAGATGGTGTAATGGTTATGTCACAAGACACCTGCATGATTGATCATGGTTCTAATCCTGGACCCGGTGGCTTAAAACTCACACTGGGCACATGTGTGTGCATGCCCAAACTCCTGAGAGGAAAATGGAGGAGAAGGGATTGTGGTATGGCCACCCACCCATCCTGGGAGTGGTTTTTCACTTTCTGTCTCTGTCTCTCCATGAGTACATGCATCCCATAGCAAAAAATCTCTCAAAATAATAATAATAACAATAATAATAATATTTTTCCATCTTGTGTTTTCAGTTATTACATAAATTCATGATCATAGTATAAATACCCAGGAATCTACTGTTCAACAAAATAACTAGAATATTTCCAATCATTGCATAAACCCATGGTTTCTTCCTTATCCCATTGTCCTGCCTCCTCACCTTTTAAAATAAAACTATCATGAATTTTATATTACTTATTCTCCTTTATAAAAATTGTAGTCTTCAGCCATGATTCAAGTCCCAGACCTGGTGACTTAAAACTCATGCAGGGCAAGTCTGCATGCATGGCCAAAATCCCAAGAGAAGAATAAAGGGATTTCTGTGTGGCCATCCTCCCTGGAGAGTGATTTCTGGCTTTCTGTCTTTCTGTTGAGCACATATGCCCTATAGCAAAAATCTCTCTAAAAACTTTAAATAAAAAAAAATAATAATAGTCTTGGGACAGCCAGTGGCATGGTGATTAAGGCAGCCAGATCCCACTTGGCCACTTCAGTTTGAGCCCAGACCCAGCAGCTTGGAAAACAAACCAAGTGTGTGTGTGTGTGTGTGTGTGTGTGTGTGTGTGTGTGTCTGAAATCTTAAGAGGAGAATGAAAAAGGGCTTGTGGCATGGCATCCCCCTTGAGGGTGCTTTTTCACTCTCTCTGTCCCTCTCTGGCAAATATACACACCCTATAGCAAAAAATAAAAAAATTTAAAAATTTAAAAAAGGTAAAAACCAAAACACCTTATTCTTTAATAATGTTTTCCCGGGACTAGCAGATAGAATAATGGTTTAATACTCAATACCACTGAGTCCCAGTTCAAGCTGAAGAATGCTGCGTACATGTGAGTACATGCCCAAAATTCTGAAGGGAGAAATGGAAAAGGGACTGCAATATGTTCATTCCCCATGGGGGATGCTTTCTCACTTTCTCTCTCTCTCCCCTCCCCGCATCTCTCTGACTCTCTCCAATGAGTATACCTGCCCTTTAGCAAATTAAAAAAAAATAAAATATATAAAGTAGTGCCAACTTACACCAAAAATAGTTATTCTACTAATCATCCTACCAGCAAACTATAAGAATTCCTGTTGCTCTATATTTATGCTTGTGCATGTTATTATTAAAGTTAGCCAATCTAGAGGATGCAAAAGGGCATCTCACTGAGGTTTAAATTTGTATTTCCTTGATTACTGAGGCTGAACATCTTTTCAGACATTTGTGTTTTATCTTCAATAAAATGCCAGTTCATACCTTTTGTCTATTTTCCTGGTAGGTTGTTTGTTGTTTGTTTGTTTGTTTGTTTTGGTTTTGCTATAGAGCCCATGCACTCACCAAAGGGAGATAGAGATAGGGGGAAGTGAGAAGTTATCCATCCCCACCCTGGGGGGAATTGGGAGGATGACCAATCCATAATTCCCACTCCTCCTGTCTCCTCTCAGGATTTTGGGCATGTTTGCACACACACACAGGATTCAACCCATGGAGCTGGCCGTGTGGAATCCAGGCCCTTATCCTCCATAACACCTGCTATCCCTGCTTGTCTTTTTAAAAATGTGTAGCTCTTTATACTAGACAGTAGTCCTTTGTTAATTATATGAGGGGATATCAAAAGCTTATGGAAAAATGAAAGTGAGGCATAAGTTTACTTTAATGTAAAAAAATTTGGAATCCCTGCATACTTTTTTCACAACATGAGTTTTCCAAAATGTTTTAGAAGACCCCTCATATGTACTACAGATATCTTCTCCCAGAGTATGTCTTACCTTTTCACTTTCTCTATGGTGACTTTTGTTGAATCTCGGTAGTTTATAATTTAATGTATAAAGTTTTACCACTCCTTTTTTTCCCAGATTAGCATATTTGAGGTCTTGTCCAAGAAACCTTTCTTTGCCCCCAAGGTAATGAGCAGTATTTGATATTTTCTTCTTAGATTTGAAAGTTTGAACTTTTTTTACTTTCAGAATTAATTTTGTTTAACTGAGATAGAGACCTCATTTCAGTCTTTACCTTTATTTGTTGATAAACAATTGTTTCAGAATTGTTTATTGAATGGTCCTTTCCCCAGTGATTTATAATATTTGCTTCATCATGAACCAAGTTTTCATATGTACATGGCTGTTTCTGAGCTATCTATTCAGTTAATTTCTTGGGCTTTATATTAAGTGTTTGCATCAACTATAAGAGGTCTTACTTTTTAAACTTTTTAAGAGTATCTCATATGTTTTGGCCCTTTGCTCTTTCATGTGGATTTTAAAATCAGCTTATCAAATTTCTTCTTAATATTCTTTATCAACATTTTGATATTGGAATAACATTGAATATATAGATTAATTTGATGAGAATTAACAGATTTATGGTAGATTCTTATTCCAAGCATATGGTACAGATCTCTGTGTATTTAATCTGTCTTAATCCCTTTCAAAAAATCTTATTAACTTCATGTCTATACATTTTAATGTTCTTCTAATGAGAATAATGGGTTTTGGGTTTTGTTTTGAATTTTTATTGTAGGGCATGTATGCTTACTAGAGACAGAGACGGATAGAGATAGGGAAAGTGAGAAGGCATCTCCGCCAAAGGATATGGTCACACTGCACTATCCCTCAAGTCTCCTCCCAGGATTTTAGGCATGCACACACAAGCACTTGGCATGTTTTTCAAGCCACCAGGTCCAAGACTGGAACTGTGCAATTGGCCATGTGGGAACTTCCATGGCATCAGCTGTTCCAAAAATACGTTTTTTAAAATTACATTTTCTACCTATTTTTGGTTAACATATAGAAATGCAACTGATTTTCCTATATTGATCTTAAATCTAGCTGCTTGTAAAAATCTTATTAAATTTCAAAAATCTTCTGGTAAGTACTGATGAGTTATTTTAGATACATAGATGCATACATTTGTACGTTTTATGCATGGATACATAAATGTTTATGTAAATTTCTGTATAAATAATTAACTGTGAATGGGACTGTTTCTGTTTCTCTTTATTTATTCTAAACATGTTTTTCCCTTGTCTTATTGCAAAAGCTATGATTTCCACTACACTGTTGAATACAGTGTTAGTAAACATTCTTATCTTGTTCTTCATTATAAAGAAAATATTTTAATGTTTTAGCTTTGAGAATGTTTGTTGAAGTTTTTGGATAATATCCTTCATCAGGTGAAGAAACTCTATTCTATTTTGGCTAGGAGAGAAGGACAACGTTTGTTTCTCTTCTTTCAGTTCAAGTCCCTGCTGGAAATTCACACTGGGCACATGTGCGTCCATGCCCAAAATCCTGAGAGGAGAATGGAGGATAAAGGACTGCAGTGTGACCAGTCCTCGTGAGGGCTGATTTCTCACTTTCCCTCTTTCTCTCTGTCTTTCTCTGAAAAGCACACACACTATGTAGCAAAACTAAAACAAAATATAATACTTTTTTTTTTTTTGGAGAGGTTTTTGCTATAGAATGCATGCACTCACCAGAAAGAGAGAGAGACAGAGAGACAGAAAGCGAGAAATCACCTCTCGTGGGGATGCCCATGCTGCAATCCCTTCTCCATTCTCCTCTTGGGATCTTGGGTACACACGCACATACGCCCAGCGTGAGTTTAAGCCACCAGGTCCCAGAATCGAACCGCGGTCAGCTACATGGGAGTTCAGTGACATAGCCATTACGCTAACTGCTGACCCCAATGATAATTTTTTTTTTTAAGTCAGTAGAGTGTCCAT